CAGAGGACCCACTACCTCTCAGTGCTTGGCATCTACTTGTCTTGTAAGAGCCAGTACCAGGGGGTGGGGTGGCAGGGTAGACAGGTGCTGTTGAACAGAGGTAATATGAAGGCTAAGGTTATGTTTAAGTTGTGTAGGGGGTGTGATGGCTAAAGTTAGGCTTAAATTACTGAACTTAAGAGATCTATAACACAAAAGTGTCTTTAACCTGTAAGCCCCACTTGCCCAAGGACAGATAACTTCCCAGAATGCTGGGGGCTGATGTTCATGTAAGATAACAGGCCATGTGTTTTAGCTTCTGCAAACAAGTTTGGTTGCCTCAACTGCACAGGATATGCTTGATCACCTGGAAGGTGACATTTCTGTAGCCACTAGGTGTGACTGTCCTTGAAGTTAAAGTAATAGGCAAGTCATTTCTTAGTTCTTAGTTTCCTTAGGCAGGCAACAGTTTTCTTAGTTCTATGGAATGCTGTGGGGTCCAATCCCACTCCTCTGTGTTTAAATTCTGTTCAGCCTGATGGGATGCAGCTCTTTATCAAGTAGGTGTCCCCAAGGCAGTAGGTATTGTTAATCCCATTGGGCAAGAATAAGGCCGCTACCACAGTTTTTGAGTCAAATTTGAAGCAAGCTGTATTAAATACTGGCCAGGACGACAGACATTGGCCAGGGCCATACCCAGGTTTCCCAGAGAATGACTACGAATTACATTATTCCGGTGCTGGAAAAGGCAAACCCCACCAGGCTTCATACTTCCTATCTTCATCCAATGGGGGCAAGCATACCTCCTGATGTACTTCCTGTTGTCTGTTGCTGCAGTGATGGACAAGGAAACACAAACTACAAGTCAACAAACTCACATGGAGTTTATTGAAGGGAAAGGGAAGAAGAGAAGGGGAGTCTTGGCCAACCGGGAGCAGAGAGGAGAGAGAGAGAAGCAGAGAAGAGGGGCGGAGAAGGGAGTTCGAGAGAGGAGAGAGCCAGATAGGGGAGAGAGAGAGAGAGAGAGAGAGAGAGAGAGAGAGAGAGAGATGAAGAGAGAGATGAGGAGAGATGAAGAGAGATGAAGGGAAAGAGTGAGAGGAGAGAGAGAGCACGTGGAGGTGCTTGCTTAAAAGGGGAAACTTGCACATGGAAACTGAGTCCTTATACAGCCCCATAACGCGTAATATAGCCATGATGTGGCCACGCAACACAAGGACCTTTGAGCTGTCTAAGTATCTGCCTGAATGCCATATGCATGTCCCTCCCATTGTCAGGGGCTGGGGTCAACATCATGCTGGGTTTCAACACTTCCTGCCTATGTATCTTTGGCCTATGTGTGATCAAGTACCTCATGTATAATTAATGGGCAACCGACCTTGTTATCTGTCCTTGGACCTTAGAGGCATTTTTGTTTTGTAGTTCTCTCTTTTTTGGGCGGGGGGTGCGTTTCGAGATAGGGTTTCTCTGTGCCTTTGGAGGCTAATCATCAAAGCCGAAAACACGTGTTAAACCAACATCCGAGCCCTTCTTATTACACTAGCAGCTAACAGCTGCCTACAGCCTACAAATCATCTTTCCACCTTAATAACCAAACCCCGCTTTTCACCACTAATCACCTTAAATGAAAAGGAACCCAAACTCATAAACCCAATTAAAGGCTTAGCTCTAGGAAGCATCTTTACTGGCTTTATTATCTCACATAATATTCCCACTGCCTCCACTCGAGTGATGACCATACCATGGTACTTAACAACCAAAGCAATCCTAGTTACTATCACAGGGTTTGCTATTGCTCTAGAATTAAACAATTTAACTTACAACCTAAAACTAAATATACTGTCACTAACCAACCTATTCTCCACCTCACTAGGATACTTTATACTTACCTTCACCACCTACTTCCCACAAAAACTCTTACAATAAGCTTTAACACAGCCCTAGACCTTACATGACTTGAAAAAGCAGCCACCAAACCCATCTCCTCCACAAACTCCCAAGTCTTCTAAATTCTCACCAACCAAAAGGGACTAATCAAGCTCTACTTCTTGTCCTTCCTGATCACAATATTGACAATTCCAATCCTACTAACTATTTTCCCCGAGTAATCTCAATTACTAGAACTAGCTCTTGTAGACCAGGCTGGCCTCGAACTAACAGAGATCCGCCTGCCTCTGCCTCCCAAGTGCATGCAATGGTGTGATATGCAAGAGCCCGTGATGTTGAAAATGAGAGAGTAATGGTGTGGAAAGCAACTGGGTTGGCCTGCTAGTCAGGGTTCTCTATAGGAACAGAAATTATAGAACGAACATCTTATAACAGTACAGCTCTGCAGTTCATAACCTCTACGGCACAGTAATTGCTAACAAAGCAGCCAGTGACTGTTAATACCCTCTGAAGTTTATTGACCATCTATGGAACCTATGCCGGTCTGTCTCTAGTGTCTTGGGCTGAGCTGCTCCTGTAGACTGGCAATTATTTCCTGAAGTGAAATGTTTCCCTTCCTGCTTTTAAGTCCACTCCATAATGCATCAATTAAAATAGTAGCATTGCCCACTTGCAGCCATTTCTAACAAGTCACTTATTTTTAGTCCTTTCACGTGGCCCGTGGCTTATGTTTGTGTGCTTTTTCATTCTTGTTATTGTTTCATTTTTGAGACAAGGTGTGATGGTAAAATCTCAAATGTCAACTCTGTAAGATTAGAATTGCTTGAGAAATGGGCCTCTGGGTATGCCTGTGAGAGGTTATCTTGATTAGGTTAATTAACTTAGGAAGATTCCCCCACTAGGGTGGTTCCATTCCCCAGTCTGGGAGTCTGTATAAACAGGAGAACATGACCTGAGAATAAGCATTGTTACTGTCCACTCCTTGACTGAGGAAACAACATGTCCAGCAGGAAAATCACCCTCTTTCAAAACATGTAGGTACAGTAGAACCTGTGTTTAAGGAGTGAAGCAAGAGCCCAACCTTAACACAATTTCTTCTACCATTCCAGCTAGCCACCAACTCACACACCTGTAGGCTAGTTATTAGCTTTCTGGATAAATGCACCCCACCCAACATGTTAATCTCAGTACCAGCAACCTTCACCTCCTGTCCTCTGCCTTCTGTACCACACTGGCCTCTTGACTCTCCACTCTGTCATTCATATGTATTTATGTATGCATTACATATATTCTTAATTGAGGCTTTATTATGTATGCATGTACATTTTTATACATATATATATATATATATTTTTGAGAAAGGATCACATCTACATATAGCTTAGGCCTTCCTGTAACCTGCAATCCTCCTGCCTCATTCTCCCAAGTGCTAGAATTACAGGTGTATTCCATTCTACGTGGCAAAAATTGAGGCATTGTTTGACATGCCTGCAATCTGATGAGTTTTGATGTATGTGTGCATTTGTGAGTCATCACCACCATCAAACTAGAGAACATGTCACTTCTCTCCAAAGGTTCTTTTTTGGATCCATTGGTGGTCCCTCGCTGTCCTCCACCACTAAACTCCCCTCATCATCTAAGACAACCACCCATCTTTTGCTCATTTGAAAGCACCATATTATGCTGGATGTGGTGGTGCATGCTTTTAATCCTACATTTGGGAGACAAAGGCAGCAAGAACTCTGTGAGTTTGAGGCCAGCCTGGTGCACAGAACAGTTCCCTCCTGCTCTTGCAGAGGGTCACAGTTTGGCTTCCAGCACCCAATTCCAGTGACTCACAACCAACTGTAACTCTAGATCCCCAGAGAGGTCTCTAGCCTCTACTGCACCTGCACTCATGGATGGACTTTGAGGTTTCAAAAGTCCATGCCAGGCCCTATCTCTCTTTTCTTACTGCTTGTGGATCACAATATAAGCTCTCAGCTACTGATCCAGTGCCATGCATGCCTGCAGACATGTTCCCTGCCATGACGGTCACAGACTAGCTTTCTGAAACAGTAAACACATTCCCAATTAAATGCTCTCTTTTATAAACTGTTTTGGTCATGGTGTCTGTTCACAGCAATAGAATGGCAACTAAGACAGCCATTTATTACAGAGTATTTATACACTCTGAGCATTGTTGCTTTCATTGGTTTAATAAAAAAAAAAGTAGCTGGGCGTTGGTGGCACACGCCTTTAATCCCAGCACTCGGGAGGCAGGGGCAGGCGGATCTCTGTGAGGTCAAGATCAGCCTGGTCTCCAGAGCGAGTACCAGGATAGGCCCCAAAGCTACACAGAGAAATCCTGTCTCAAAAAGCCAATAAAAAAAAAGTAGCCAATAGCTAAGCAAGGTTTTTCAGACACAGAGAACATTGGGAAGGAGGACATAGATGCCAGGAGATGCAGAGAGAAGCAAGATGAACTTGCCGTGCTGAAGAGAGGTAAAGCCACAAGTCAAGAGACATGTAGATCGATAAGAATGGGTTCATTTAAGTTGTATGAGTTGGTTAGTAATAAGTCTAAGTTACTGGCCAAGCTTTCATAATTAAAAATAAGTCTCCAAGTTGTTTTTTGTGAGTTGGTCGTTCAAACAAAAGTCTGCCTACAGATGTTCAACTTTGATCTGTTTCAAAATTAATCCTGGGAAAGTAATTTTAAGTGTTTACACATTAATTTTGGTTTGGCTTTTTGATTTTTCAAACATGATTGACATATTAGGAAACAACTTGAGCATAACTTGGCTTGTGTTTCTGGAAGAAACACCAGATGCCCCCCCACGTGTGTACACACACACACACACACACACACACACACACCACCTCTCAATATCTACTGACTTCTGTTCACTTTGTTACTAGCCAAATGGCTAGGAACTGAACCATGTCCTATGAGGGTAATTGTTCTTGCACCCCCCTCCCAAGCTCCTGGGGATGGAATCTAGGGCTCCATGAATGCTTGGCATGTGTTGCACTGAAGCACCCCCCCCCCCCGGGCCAGCACATTGCTTCATAAATAAATGAAAGGGTGAGCATAGCAATGAATAATTAATTCAGTATTTTGTTTCAAAGAATAAATAAAGTTTTCATTCCAGTCAGGGACATTCCTCAGTGAGCTTCACTGCCTCATGGATGCTCTGAGTGATGTAGTCTATGTTCCTGATATTGATGCAGGTGAAGTTAATCCGGCTGGTCTTGGGGATGTAGATATGCTTCTTCTTGGTCAGGTACTCCACCTGTTGGTCTGTGACAGTCACAGGACTCAGAATTCCTCTCAAGCCCAGGCAGAATTAAAGGCGAAGAAATGCCGGCATCTGTGGGGGCCTATAGAGGTCTCTGAAGCAGCCTCACTTTCCCAAGGGTGTGAGGGAAGCCCAGAGCAAAGCTGTAGACTGATCGATCATCCAGTCCAGGCTTGCTCAGGGTTAAAACACAGGCCTGAGGTCAGGAAGGGGAGAGTTGCCCAGTTCTGGAACTTACAGTTGAGTCCCAGATAACCATGGAAGCCACTCTGTTCGGTGATGTGATTCCAGGTCCCAGGGGTCCCGAGGAGCCGGAGCTTCTCTTTCACCTTTTCCTTGATCAACATGATGTTCTCCACAACACCTTTTAGACTCTGCTTCCTGCCAAGGCAAGAAGCAAGAGATGGGACGGTGGATCTCCCTGCTTCCCAAAGTGTCCTCCCCTCCTCCTACCTTTCCACACTCTGACCCATGTCAGGAAGCACATGCATGGAACTTGGGCTCCATGGCACCTATGGTGGGAAGGAGGTTTGATTCTGCTGTAGTTTGGGTCTTAAATGTCTCCTAAAGGCCTGTGTGTTAAAGACTGTGTCACTATTGGTTGTGGGAGGAAGTTAGGTCATGGGAGGGGGCGCTATCATGACTCCTCCTTCATTATCTCTGTTGCTTTCTGGACATCATAAGGTGAACATTTGTTACCCTAAACTGTACCACCATGCATTGCCTCACTATAGCATCAAGTGACCCTATCAACTGAACTTCCAAAACTGAGAGTGAACACAAAACTTTTCTTTTCTAGGGGAGAGGTGTTAGCCATTTCAAGTATTTTGTTATAGTAACAGGAAGCTGGGTAATCCAGGACCCATATTAATTTAAGCATGCAAAGTAGACCTCCAGATTTTGCCAGCTTAGCTTTAGTGTGTGTGTGTGTGTGTGTGTGTGTGTGTGTGTGTGTGTCGGGTTAGGGGTAGTCAGAGGACAACTTGCAGGAGTCGATTCTTTCTTTCCACCATGTAGGTCCTGGGAATCATCAGGCCCTGAGGTCATTATCCTTGGCAACAAGTACTTTTACCTGCTGAGCAACGTGGCAGGTCCAGATCTCTCTTTGTGTGTGTGTGTGTGTGTGTGTGTACACGCGCACGTGTGCAAAATAATAGGTTTCATCTTAGTGCAGTCTGGAAGTGTTCTGTAATCTAACTTATTGATTTATATCCAAAATAAAGGTGTCATTGTCCACTACTTCAGGGCAGGGCAACCCTTGGCTTAGCTAGAGCCACAGTACACAGAAAGGCCCTCAGTAAAATTTGATGAATGTGAGCATGAATGAGTGTTATAAAGACCATAGAGCCGGGCGTTGGTGGCACATGCCTTTAATTCCAGCACTCGGGAGGTAGAGGCAGAAGCAGAGGCAGGCCAATCTCTGTGAGTTCGAGGCCAGCCTTGTCTACAGAGCAAGTTCCAGGACAACCCCCAAAACAAAACAGAGAAACCCTGTTTTGAAAAAAAAAAAAAAAAGAAAAAGAAAGAAAGAAAGAAAGAAAGAAAAAAAAGAAGACCATAGGAGAAGCAGAAGCGTCCAAGTGAGCCAGTCAGTCTGTAGGACTATAGGAGCCCTAGCCACCCTCCCTTGCTCAGACCCTCCCACCCCTTACCATTCTCCAAACAGAGCAGGGTTACAGAGGATGGAAGTGATGATCCGGGCACCTGTGGCAGGAGGGCTTCCCCACAGAGCCTCAACATAGTTCATCAGCTGGGAGAGGACACACAGCAGGTTCTGGTTGCTGAGGGCTGCCACAGCTAGGATCCCCACTCCTTCATCTGCAGCATTGAGAAGACAGCCTCACCCTCAGGCTTCTCCCTCCCTTATGTTCGGAATCTTACCTAGACCTCTCCCTCCAACCTTGCAGGAGAAAGGGCTAAACTGTGGAGCCACCAGCTCAGTCCAGTCAGGCTAGTATTTGGCCCCAAAGTCCTAGCCTCTTTTTGTGCAAAGAGTATCCATGCGCCGGAGTATGCAAGGGGGAGAGGGCTTGAAAGATTTACCAAGTACTTTCTCCTCATTTTCCAGCCAAGGAAGCAGAGGCCTGAGAGGTTAAAATTTTAACTAGAACAGACGTGGGTAATTTGGGGAGTGGGTTTAGTCACAGAGCCCAACTTCTAGCTCAATGGTGTCCTTTTCTGCCACAATGTGATTTCTCTGGAGTATTAGGCTCCTTCCAAGGGATTAAGTGATGTCAAAAACATCTATCCTTTGGAGGAGGGGTAGGGGAGATTGGTGAGGAAAATACGAGAAAGTACATATCTGGTGTGTGTGTGTGTGTGTGTGTGTGTGTGTGAGAGAGAGAGAGAGAGAGAGAGAGAGAGAG